GTCAATGATCTCCGCGAATAATAACTTAATTTCTGTGCAAAACAAGTGTAATCAACTGTATTTCCAACCAGAACTACTGAACAAAACACAAGCGAAGGGGATCAATAGCTAAAATCAGTGTTAAGTGGAAAAGTATACAACAAATATTATCGAAACATAACCTAAAATTGCAAAATCATTGAAGTGAAGTGAGCAACATATCACAAACAAACTACTACCAAGTGACATTAACGAAAGTGTTGCCAACGAGAATTCAGTATTACTAAACAGAACCTAGGGTTGCCATCCAGAATCTAGGGCTGCCAACTAAAATACAGTGTTGCCATTACGGTAAAACTTTCTTATAATGGAAGAAAAAAATATGGAAAAGCTAATATCAATCTTAGACACGAAACTCAACAATCAAACTCTTCTTATAACAACTACCGTGACGAAAAATGTAATGGAAGCACTTGATGAAAAGTTGAAATTTATCACGGAAGAAAATAGTGCCCTCAAAACAAAAATATCAGAATTAGAAATGGAAGTAAAGTTTTTGAAAGATGAAAAAAGGAGAAACAATCTGGTATTTTTTGGTATAGAAGAAATAGGAAAAACCGAATGCGAGCTTGTGGATTTCATCAAGGACGTCATAATGGACTCGGGAACGCACTTAGACAGCAACGAAATCAGTAAAATATTCAGAATTGGGAAACAGGTCAACAACAAAAACCGCCCGATCGTAGTCACTATTACTACGCTATGGAAAAAGCACTTGATATTGCGAAACAAGACCAAACTTCCGCAAGGAATATACATTAAGGAAGATTACTCCAAAGAAGTTCTAGAAAAACGCAAGCAGCTGCAGTTACAGGTTGAAGAAGAAAAGAAGAAAGGAAATGTAGCATTTATAAAATTCGATAGATTAGTAGTGAAGAAAAACAGAGATAATAACCCAGAAAAGAGAAAAAGAGAAGAGTCAGGCTCGCCAAACTCCTCAAATCAAAAGAAAACAACCACTACTGTTTTCAAGACACAAATCAAATCAGCAACCAAAACTGTAGGGAAAGACACTATAAAACCTAACATTCTCAACTATGTCGAAAGAGGAAGATCAGCTTCAATATCAGAAATACCAAAAAACCTGTAAATGGCATCGACAACCGGAACCAAGACAACACAACATCAACTAAACCAACTGTTTCTAAAGGCACCCCAATCCGGCCAGTCACCGTGGGGGAAGAAGACTATTACCCTCCAACCAACTTCAAATTATACATTCATCCTAAAAAACATCGCCAAGTGGAAGATACAATACACATTGCAACGTACAATACCTTGTCTTTGAGAACCAATGAAAGTCTAACGGAATTAATGCTAGCTCTAAGAAATATAAATTGGGCAATACTGGGTCTGAGTGAAGTTCGACGCCTAGGGGAGAGTATAGAAGACCACGGACATTTTATATTATATTATAAAGGAGAAACACCAGGCTTATATGGAACAGGATTCTTAATAAAACATGAATTAAAACCTTGTATTGACGAGTTCATTGGCGTCTCGGAGCGTATTGTAATACTAAATATAAAACTACCTCCGAATAACGAAAAGTGGTCGTTTGTTCAAGTTTACTCTCCAACTGAACAATCAAGTAGAACAGAAATCGACACCTTCTACTTTATGTTACAAGACGCAATAAACAATCACTCGTACAAAAATTTGGTAGTAATGGGAGATTTCAATGCAAGAACAGGGGCAAGAGGAGACGGAGAACAAATGGTATTGGGCCCGTATTGTTCAGGAAAAAGAACCAGAAATGGGGAGAGACTTATACAACTGGCATACGAAAACAACTTAAAAGTACTAAACACTTTATATAGAAAACGTGAGAACAACAGATGGACATGGATATCTCCAGATGGTCACCACAAAAACGAGATAGATTACATACTAACAAACAAAAGCAAAAATTTTCGAGACTGTAGAGTTCTGAACAATATTAATTTTAACAGCAACCATAGGATGATAAGAGCTAATTTACAAATATACCCTTCAAAGAATCGACCCTTCAAAGTAAAGCAAGTTAATAGAGTAACACTAGAAAGTACTGATTCACTAAAAGAAAAACTAGAACAATTCATAGAAAAAACCAAAGACTTAGACATACAGAGTAAATACAACAAATTCCAAGAACTTCTCTATACTAATAAAAAGGGCAAACTAGACAGTGGAAACAACAGGACAAAATGGATAACAAATGAAACTAAAGAACTGATAAGAAAGAGAGCAGACCTAATATCTAACCCTGAAAAGACAAAAACTATAAGAAACGATATTGCCAATATAAGTAATAAAATTAAAACACACATGAGAAAAGACCGTCAGAGATACAGATTGGAACAACTGGAGAAATGCATACAAAGAACTGGAGGCACCAAAAAAGCAGCTAAACTACTATTGGAAAAACGAGATTGGATACCACACTTAATAAATAAAAATTATGAATGCGAAAAGCGACGCCCTGAAATCATATCAATAGCCACTCAATTTTTTAAAGAATTATATTCAAGGAAAATCACTGCACAAACAACAATCCTAACAGGAGGAGGTGAAGTACCGGACATAATAAGTGAGGAAGTGGAAAGAGCTGTGAGAACTCAAAAAGCAGATAAAGCTCCAGGATCGGATGGCATAAGCAACGAGTTCCTCATCCTAAATCGAAACCATCTAATACCAATTCTCAAACATCTTTTCAACCAAGTCTTAGAAAACGAGATAATACCTTGCCAATGGACAACATCATCAATAGTACTTCTACACAAGAAAGGAGATAGAAACAACATTAATAATTATAGGCCCATAAGTCTGATGTCGAATATATATAAAGTTTTCGCAAAAATTATACTCTACAGAATAACTAATACGTTAGATGAAAACCAACCAAGAGAGCAGGCGGGTTTCAGGAGCGGATATTCAACTCTAGACCACATTCATGTTATCAAACAACTATTTGAAAAAGGCAAAGAATACAACATAATCTTCTATTGTTGCTTCGTAGATTACAGTAAAGCTTTCGACACAATAGAGCATGAAAAAATCTGGCAGGCACTCAAAAACCAAGGTATTGAAAACAAATACATCAGAATAATAAAAAATATCTACGATAACAGCAGGGCTAAAATAAAACTAGAGAAGGAAGGTAAAGACATTATAATAGGCAGAGGCGTACGTCAGGGCGATCCGCTATCGCCGAAACTCTTTACTGCTGTTTTAGAAGAAGTCTTTCGTCAATTGGACTGGCAGAAATGTGGACTATCCATTAACGGGGAAAACTTGTCACATTTAAGATTTGCGGATGATTTGATAATCCTCTCGCCATCGAGTGATGGACTGCAAGCGATGCTGAGTGACCTGGTTAGAGAAAGTGGTAAAGTGGGATTGATCATGAACACATCAAAGACCAAGGCTATGACCAATGGCAAGGAAGAACCTATTCTGATCAATAATAACCCAATTGAATATGTCAAGGAATATATCTATTTAGGCCAGATAATCTCTCCTGTAGATCTAACCTCAAAAGAAATTGACAGACGCATTGGAAATGCCTGGAAACAATTTTGGAACCTAAAGGAAATAATGAAAAATAAAGATACTAACATAACCATCAAACGAAAACTCTTTGATACCAGCATACTACCTATACTCACTTATGGTTGCCAAACCTGGGCACTCACTAAAGCACACATTAAAAAGTTAGAAACTTGCCAAAACTCCATGGAAAGGAGTATGATGGGGAAAAAACTATCCGACAGAATTAGAATCGAAACCATAAAGAAACACACGAAAACAAAAGATGTAACAACAACAATAAAAAAGTTAAAATGGAAATGGTCAGGCCATACAATTAGAGGAATGGAGAAATGGTCGAAATCGATAATGAACTGGTTCACAAGTCATAAGAAAAGAAAAAAAGGAAGACCACTTCGAAGATGGGTGGACGACATTAGAGCCTTAGCAGGGGGCACATGGACGAGAACTGCTAAGGATAGACAGGAATGGAAGAAGTTGGAGGAGGCCTTTGCCAATAAGTGGCACACAGACAGAGTTGTCGATGAGTAATAGTTAAGCGTAATAGATAAGATATATAATATATAAGTAAAAATTTTTTACAATAATTAAGATGTTAAATACTGTAGATGTAAAACTGTCCGAAATAAAGGCTATTATTATATCATCATTTGATCTGTGCCTGGGCTTAATTTATCTTTATTAGGGAAGAGTGGGGTAATTGTGAACACTTAAGGGGAAACTGAAATTGAACAAAACCATATTAAGTTACGAATGTAATTTATTACTAAAAGTTTACTGTAGCTAATCAACCTCAAGTTCTGATAAGCAACTTAGATAAATTTACAATATAATATCAAATATGAATAAGAAAACAAAATTTTGGGAGTTCGGAACATTGCATTATTTAACATTAACTTAAACTTTTTATGTAACTAAATCTATCTTTATGTATCTAATTTAATACAATTATACGTTATAGTAACCATTAAAATTAAAAATAAAATAGTAATTTATTATTATTAACTAATAACATTTTAGGAAAATTATAAAAAACATAAAATTTAAAAAACAATCAGTTACTATGAAAATCTTTAAAGCAATTCTGCCCTCGAATTACACACAGAATTTTTGTGCGGCTTACATGTTTCTAATTGACAAAATCTAGGCGATTTTAGATCATCGAATACGGGCAAATGATCGTACCCATCATACCGTAGTGTTGCCGATGGTATTAGAGCTTTTTTAAATTTCCTCGGCATTATGTTTTCTACGTCCTCCAAGCCTTCTGTGCGACGTTTTTCAGGGGAACTCAGTAAGACCTCAGATATCTCAAGACGAAAGTCTAATAAATCTAGTGTTTTATTCCGTCTGTAATTATTGAAAGTACAAATCTATTTTGAAAGTGCTCCAAGCGTTGACTAAAGCTAAATCATAAAAATGAATGAGTACTTTCAGTGTCCTTTCCGAGTTTTTATGAATGTTCTGTAGTATTCAACTTGTTGGTCGAGAACATCCACTCCTCCCATGTATCGGTTATAATTTTGAATTATTTGTGGTGCAGTCACGTCAACATAGGTGCGAGTTCGGTTATCCCATCTTTTAACCATTTCAGTACAGTTTGATCCAGTGCAGTTAGAAGCTATCAATACAGACTTATTGTCTTTCCACTTTACTAACACTTTAGGGTCCCTTACCATCTGCTGGCTCTCAAAACGATTCTTTTGACTGTCCTTCTGGAATTTTAAACTGGTCTTGTCTGGTATTCTATTCGCCATGATAGTTCCTGTACTGTGTAGGTTCCGCTTTTGCAATTCTTCTATTAATGGAATGGTGGTGAAATGTCTGTCGTGATATAAACAACTTCCTTCGGTAACGCTTCTTGATAAGTGCAAAACTACGGAGGGTCCAAGACCAAGATTAGTGTCCCCGAACATTGTCCTAGCTCCTTGATAAATGTCAAAGTCTAATATAAGCCCATCACTTGTTGTGAGGACTTAGTTTTTGAGACCAACTGGTTTATTTTTAACAACTTGCCTCAATGGACATCGACCAGTGAATGGAATCATCTGCTCATCAATAGAATAGTACCCTGGAACCCGTTCTTGCTTGTAACAACCATTGCGAACTTGAGTTATCATAGGTTGGACTTTCCACAACGGATTTGTTGCCTGTTGAGGTGGTGCAGTATCAGTGCTTACTACATGCAGTGCGTTTCGCAATTGTAAGAATCGAACACGGCTCATTTTGCTAGTTATTTTGTCTAGGGAAATGCCACTACGCCAGTACATAGGCAGCCTCGGGAATGGAATACATCCGATTAAAATATGAATACCAAAAAGTTTCTGTATCTCAGATTTTGTAGTTTTTAATTCACTTCCAGTCTTTCTCAAATAATATAAATTTGTGCAAGTACAGACCATTTCATAAAACTGGTCATCAAAGTAATCAATTGGTTCTCTTACCGATTTAACAGATCGTTCAGGGTACGTATGCTGCTTATCTTCAAACGAAGTAACTCGCCAGCTGCGAGGCCGGGAACCAGATCGACTCGGACGTTTAGCAGTCGGTACTACGGAAGAAGGTGCTGATATGAACTGGTCTGGCGCTGGACTATCTTTCACCTGGTTATATATTTGATTTTCAGTAGGATCTTCGGGGAAATAAGGTCACCTAGATTGCTCAAGGCAGCAGGGTTAATAAAAAACAATTCCTCGTCATCGGAGTCGTTAGAAAAATTGAGTTCCGAATCATTGCCGTCGCCCTACGCTTGTAAGATGTCTTCGTCATGCATGCGGCTTTAAAATATAAAAAAGGCACTTAAATTACATCGTACAGTGATATTAAATAACACTGTTATTTACTAAAAAAAGTTTAAGTGACACCTAAAACGCACGAACGTGCATCTTTAAATTTGATGCAGAATAAATCAATCAATAACGAACGTAATCACAAAAATACGTAATAAAATTATGAGTCGGCTTATTACCAATAGAAAATTAAAGTTTAATAATAATATTCCATTAAAAAAAGGCGAAAATAGTTATACTTACTTGAAGCTCCTCGCCCGCCAAAATTCGCTGCCATCTCCGACGAGGTACTGTGTCGCACTGACGAGTCACAACTTGTATTATTATGTTCTTTGAGAAGGACTATATCATGCACGAGCGAGCGACGTCGGTTGCGTTCGGTAAAATAAGTTATGGGTAGCGCTAGATTTTTTTAAAGTTAAATGCACGCTTAACTATGAGTCGGTTGTAAAGGGAAACACTTTTCATGGGCCCAGGGCCGGATTTAGAGGTGTGGAGGCCCTGGGTCAACAAGCGAGTTGAGGCCCCTAATTATTTTTCAAATGGGTTAAATAATGTTTTTTTTTGCAAGTGTTTCAATAATTTATTTATATAATCGTAAGGCACAAATAGATAGAACAGGCAATCACAAATCAAGTCACACAATAAGTAAATAATCTTTAAATTAAAGCCATCCAAATGCCACCGTCAAAGATTTTTTTCGACGAAAAATCAATGATGATTGCGTTGAAATCCAGCTCCCGCAGTAAATCACTTTCAATACTAATTAGGGATAACTTTGATAGGGGTTTTGTTCCCTCGTAGTTCTTAGCCTATTTTTTATAATTTTCATTTTTGAAAATGAGCGCTCTCCAGTGCAATTTGGCACCATCAAAACCAAGTACATTCGCAGTGTGATGCCGATGTTTGGGAATGTAGCTCTGAAATTTTGATTTTCAAGAATCTGAAAATAGAACAGCTGCTTAGATATGTCTTTTTTATAGTCTGTTTGTTATAAGTTAATCAAAGGTACAAATTGAACCAACTCATTACCTAGACTAGGTTCACGATTTAGAACCTAGTCTTGGGAATGAGTTGGTTTTACTTTGTAAACTTTTACTAGGTCATCTGCTGCAGCACACGCAGCATCCATTTCCTCTAAGTGATTAAGAAGTCCAAATTTTGAACGTACAGCATCGTATGCATGCAATCTTTCAGGAAGAGTAACATAGCCGATCGATCACTGGGATAAAGCCTGACACTTTAAATTTATCTTTTGGTGACAAGTTAGCATCTTGTGCTTTTATATAATCGAGCGGATGCAACCTCACATTTCCAGTTCTAGTGCGAGATTTTACGTAGTGGTCAGTAGTTGAAATTTCTTTAGCAGCTTCTTCGTATTTGTCAAACTCGTCTCTTTTGGATTCAACAAATAATTTCAATTATCTGATTGCATGCCTTGCAGACTCAAGAGTCATCTTCGGGTCCTGCAAAATCTTGTTTGTAGCGTTAAATCGCTCCAAAATGTCGTTCTAAAAGAATGCAAATAGAGCGGTTTCAAGACAACTCATCTTCTTCAGAAGATGTGTTGCTTCAATTCTCACGATATCTTTTTTGCTCCTTTTTTTTTTTAATTTTAATAACTATCTACCTCTTGCATGACAAGAGTCTTTGGTATGCTCTGTTTCTTTTAATATGCCTTGTTTTGTTTATTTGTTCTTATTTATAACAATTTTGCAGATTTTTGTTGCGAATTCTAAAAATTGCGGCCTTGTGTCCTTTGTCTCCATTAGATGGTGTGCCTCTTTCCTATCGATTTTCACTCCAAGGCGTTGCTCAGCTTCGTGTCGTTGAGCCCCGAATACGGGGCAGTCAAATATAATGTGCAGGACGTCTTCGTCCTGTGCTGGGTCGCAGATACATGACGCGCTCTCCCAATACCTGAAGCGATGCAGGTATTGGGAGAACCCTCCATGTCCCGTTAGTATCTGCGTAGCAACGCGTTGGGGACGGATCTTCCGCACCAGGCAGTACGCATCTCTCACGTCTGGGAAGAACACTCTCGTGACGGAGGCCGTGTTTCCCGACTGGTATCTCCGGTTCCATTCGTTGAGCGAATCGCTGCGTATCTGTCGGTTGACGAATGTAACCGGGCACAGGTCGTAGTCGGGCTTCCTCCGACTCGAGAGTGCCGCCTCCTTAGCCAACTGGTCGGCGCGCTCGTTACCGTCGATGCCGGCGTGGGCCTTGATCCAGAACAAATTTACATCTTTGCCCTGAGTCAAGGCCTCGCTGAGGTTTCGGCGCGCCTGGATTGCGAGAGGATGCAGGGTTCCGGGGTTCGTCACCATCTCAAGTCGCTGTAGATGCCGCAGCTCCCCGCACTGCAACTGAGGATTTCGCTCGAAGCTCTGCGGCTCCGGCTGTCCCATATGGACAGCGCGGCGCCGACCTTGCCCTGGAGCTTGCTACCATCTGTGAAGATACGTAGCGACTGCACGTTGTGTTGGTCTACCAGGCTTTGGTCCTCCAGACTCTGGAACCTCAAGTCCATACGCAGGGCCGGATGTGGTAGTTCCGCAAATCGCACCACACGTTCTACCTCCCGGTCCTCCAGCATTAGCCGAGTCGACCCTTTGCGCGCTTCGTAGAGAGCGGCTGCTTCTTTTATTCGAAGGTCCAGAGGTAGTAACCCGGCCAGTAGTAGGGCCGAGTTTAGGGAGACAGTGCGGTACGATTTGCAGATCTTCTGAGCGAATCCTCTTTGCACAGTGTCGAAGAGCTTGCGGACACCCAGCTTCTCAACGGCGGGAGCATATGCGGCTGCCGCATACGTGATGACCGGTTCTACTGTTGCTGTGTATATGATGCGTACGACCTCCGGGTGCAGCCCCCAGCTTATTTTCGCCGTTCTCGAGAGCTGGTTGTAAATATTTAGGGCCTTCCTACAGACGACGCTGACATGGGTGTTAAACGTCAGCTTGTCGTCTATAGTAAGCCCCAAAATCCTCAGCTCTCGGGACATGCCAATGTCGACCTCGCCCATGCTCAGGAGCGGGTTGTCATGCTTGAGCTTGTTGGTCAGCAGCATGGTGCAGGTCTTATGTGGCGCAAATTTTAATTTGTTTTTGACGCCCCACCCCTAAACAAAGTCAAGGGCGGCATTGGCATGTCGCTGCACCTCTAACGCAGTATACTCCGCGAACAGCAGAACCACGTCATCCGCAATTGGCAGGTGACGCCCCGTTCTTGCAGACCCTTCAGGAGCGGGTCAAGGAGGATATTCCATAGGATAGGTCCGCTTATGAACCCTTGGACGCAGCCCTTTTGGGTTTCTCGGCGATGTTCCGCCCCGGCGTACCTTAGCTTCACACATCTGTCGACTAGGTAGCTGTCCAGCAGACGCCTGATATTGACCGGGCAACCTTCCTCAGCCAGTCGGACCTTGATGGCGGGCCACCATGCACTGTCGAAGGCGCCATCTATATCCAGTGAGACTAGCGTGACCGACTTCTTCAGCTTGATTTTGTTCACTACTTTACTTGTACTTTAATTTGGTTCACTAGAATATAGAGGGCGTCCTCGGTGCTCCTCTGGGGCATGAAGCCATACTGGCGAGTACTGAGCCTCGGTACCAGATGCCACTGGAGCCTCGCTACTACCATTTTCTCTAGGACTTTCCCATACAGGCAACAGACCGATTGGCCTGTGTGACTTGGCGCTCTGATAGTTCTCCTTGCCCGGCTTCCTCAACACCACGACTGTGGCCTCCTTCCACTTTTTGGGGAAGTGGCCCAGGGTGAGGCACTTATTGGCCAGGGCAAGGAAGGTATCAGGGTCCCGGAGAATGTTCTGACGACAGATGTCCGCCGTGAAGCCATCTGCACTTTTTTTTTTCTTTTTTTTTCCGTGCGCAAATCCCTCGGATACCACCTGTCGGTGGCATGTCGGACTCGAACCGACTAAAACCGCACGCCGTCTCGGGTACTAATAACCGGGGAACCAGGTATACCCTAAAAGCCATCTGCACCTTTTTTTTTTTTTTTTTTTTTTTTTTTTTTTTTTTTTTTTTTCCGTGCGGAAATCCCCTCGGATACCACCTGTCGGTGGCATGTCGGACACGAACCGACTAAAACCGCACGCCTTCGCCGGGTACTAATAGCCGGGGAACCAGGTATACCCTAGAAAGGAAGGCCCTGGTGCCCCGACATACCTCGGGTCATCTACAGACGAGTAGACGACCCCCGCCCCGTGTGGGAACCCCATGTTCCCTGTGCTCCCTGGAAGCGAGCGCGCTTCGCAACGCGCTCGCCGCCACCCCGGCCTGCTTCTGCTAGGGTGACAGATGGCCTCACCTGTCACCCCCCGGCCTGCGCTTATGGAGGACGAAGGTCGTTCTGCGACCTCCGGCGCCTGAGTCGCCTGCGCTGCCTGGCCCGTGCCCGGGCCTGGCGGGCCGGGAGAGTTCTAAACCTCTCCCGGCCCCGCTCCGCCGTCTCCTTCGCGAGCATAACTTGCTCGCAGAAGGAGACGGCAGAGTTCCACGCACTCTCGCTCCGCACGATAGCCGCAATCAGGCTATCGAGCGAGAGAACTCCCACTCCGATGGCCGCCACGAGGTCTCGCCTCTGCTCAACCCACGCCGGGCACTCTGCCAGCGTGTGGAGAGCCGTGTCCACGGTCTGGCCATCGCAGTGGTGGCACTCAGGCGTTGGCTCCTTGCGGATCAGACACAGGTGATCTCCGAAACATCCCTTCCCAGTGATCACCTGCGTCAATCGGTATGAGAGGGTCCCGTGACGCCTCTCGAGCCAATCCTCCATAACGGGTCTTACCGCCGCAATGACGGCGTGCCCGGCGCTCGGTTGCCCGAGTCGTTCCCTCCACTCCCATATGATGACCTGGCGGAGTTGGGATTTCCGGTCATCGATTTCTCGAATCTCGGGGCATCGACCCAACTCCTGCGCCTCCTTGCGCCACTGATACAGTGCTGCAAGGGCTCTCGCCTCCAGGTCCCACGGTGGAGTTCCGGCCAGGAGACTCGCCGCCTCAAAGGAGATCGTGCGGTACCCCCTTATGATCTTGATGGCCAGCATTCGCTGCGGTCGCCGCAGTATCGCGACGTTGCTAGCCTTCAGAGCCCCCGCCCATACCGGGCACCCGTAAAGGGCCATGGACCGCACAACCCCCGAGTAAAGTCTCCTGCAGGAGTCATCGGGTCCCTTCATGTTGGGCAGCAGCCGCGCCAACGCACGCGCTGCCCCAACCAACTTAGGGACTAGACCTCGGAAATGATATCCGAAGTCCCATCGGCCCTCGAGTACGAGCCCCAGATACCTGATCGAGGGCTCGATGCCGATGCGAGTGCCTCCTACCGTGAGGCTAGATCCCTCAGGCGGCTTCCTCCGAAGCCCGTGGAAGAACAGGGCCTCGGACTTGTGCAGAGCCACCTCGAGACCCAGCCGCCGGATACGCTCAACGACTTGGGCAACCCCGGCCGTGGCCCTCAGGGTTGCCTCGTGGTGCGTCTTGCCGCGCGCCGTCACGAGTGTGTCGTCCGCGTAGCACACGACGGCGACACCATCCAAGAAGGCACCACGAAGCACCCAGTCGTAGCCGATGTTCCACAAAAGTGGCCCTAACACCGACCCCTGCGGAACACCGCACGACATTTCACGCCTACCGAGACCGGTCCTACTGGGGTAGACGACGGCTCTCTCCGACAAATATGCCCCGACTATGCGGCGGAGGTAGAGAGGCACTTCGTGATACACGAGCGCCTCCCTGATGCAGCTCCAGGGCATAGTGTTGAACGCGTTGGCGATGTCCAAGGACACCGCCAACACCACTTCGCCCCGGGAGACTGCTTCCTCCGCCAGAGCCTTCACGCGCATGATCGCATCCACGGTGGAGCGCCCCTGACGGAAACCGTACTGGTTGTCCGCCAGATCCGGCCCAACCATCACGAGATGCTTGACGAGGCGCCTTGCAATCACTCTTTCAAAGAGCTTGCACACCTCGTCAAGCAACACTATGGGCCGGTAGGCGGACGGTGAGTCCGCCGGGCGAGCCATCTGCACCTGGCGCTTTCTTCGGGTTGAAGCTTTACACCGCGGTCATCATCTCGCGCGTTGTAAACGGCGGGTCATGCACCTCAACATGGACCCGATCGTTTACCCGCTGTGCGAGATCCCGGGTGTCCCTGTGGTGTTGGCTATCAGTTGTGTGTGAGTCCTTCGGGTAGAAGGTCTCCGCCAGGTGAGAAGCAGATTCGGCGGGGCTAAGTGGTACGCCGTTCTTGATCAGGGCTACGTCCTCTTCCCTCTTTTTAGTCCTCCTAATTACTCGGTAAATACCCTCCCAGGTACAAGATATGCTGGTAAGAGTTTCTTTGATTTTAGAATATACATTGACAATAGCTTTCGTAGCTTCAGCTCGACAAGATCAGCGTGTATCAGCCTTTTCAACACGTAGAACTGTTTGTTTGTTTTTCCGATAATTTTTCAATGAGAATTCGGTATCTTTCTGTACTTATTGTGAAAAATGTATATAAACTCTGAACGAAACTAAAGAATTGAACAGCCGATGTGCAAGCATTAGCAGTAGCCTTTCCAAATAAATTAACAGAATTACCACAACATGGTACAAACACTGATAAAGGATTTTTCTCCAAAATCAGAGTTTGCATGCCTTTGTATTTGCCGCTCATATTTGCAGCATTACCGTATGATTGGCCGCGACAATCGAGAATGTCAATTTGATGACCACCAACATGACCACTCCATTTATTTGCATTTTCTTTCAAATGGTTTGCGAGAAGTGGTTCATATTCGGCTAGAAATTCCAGTATACCGAGGTCATTTCAATTTCTCGGTGACTCAATAATTTCAACATCCATTCTGGTGAGGCTGATCTTAATCGAACCGAAGAAGTAGGTTGGTTCGAAGTGGGTGACCCGAATCTTTCAGAAACATCGCTCGTATTGTTAATCTTACAGCGCAATATTTGATCAATGTGTCTTATACCTATTATTATGACCTTCTAGGAAAATTTCAAACATTCTTTTACCTATAATTTTATTTATTACACCTAATTTCCATGTTTCTGACCTGGCACTGTACCATCGGACCCACACCCTCTCGCCAATACTAAACACTCTCGTATTAAATTTTGCCTCCTGCGTAACGGTACGCAATTTACTCCTTGAAGGAAGAATTAAATCAAGACGCGATCTTAAATCCCTCCCAAACATTAGTTTCGCAGGTGAGTGACCTGTAGTACAGTGCACAGTATTTCTATATTCAAAAAGATATCCTAATAAAGTTTCCTGTAAAACTTCTTTTGTCAAGTTTTCACTTAATATAGCTTTTAACATTTTCTTACACGTTTTAACAGAATTTTCAGCCTGCCCATTGCTGCAGGGGTGGTAAATTGGCGAAGTCATGTACTTAATGCCATTATTGGAACAGAAATCATTAAATTCTTTTGAATTTAATTTAACGTCATTATCAGAAACTATCGTGCAAGGTATACCAAATACAGAAAAAAATGATTTTAGTTTGTTTATTAAAGCGCTCGTAGTAACGTTATTTTGCATGTAAATACACTCCAACCATTTAGAGTATGCATCGATAAGTACTAGATATACCCGTTGTCCGACAGACAAATAGTCGATGTGTACTAGCTCCCGTTTCCGATGCAACCTTATAAGTGTACCACCCACCCGCTCCAGTAGTGCTGAAAAATTCACAGTACTTTCTTTTGTCCGTTTGTATTTTCCATACATAAGGAAATAACGTCAAAGGGAAAAACATCCTAGTGGCTTGTCGTGCAGTAGTTACTAGTAATATTTCAGCGAGGAGAGTGGTTAGTGCAGAAATCTCTGACGCTTGTTTTGTTGTTTTTGTAAGTTCTTTTATCTCCTCAATACAGGGTATGTGGGACATGGCTCTTTTAACAGCTGACGCATACTTCTTGCGGTATATCCCTTCACTCCGTATCATTCCTAGCCATGCTGTCATAGGGCCCAGACTCTGAACGATTGAGGATCTCCTTTCAGGTGGGAATGAAGTGCCTTCGAGTAATACGTGGTGAGCACCTGAGAGGCCATACTTTGAAACGGGGAAACTTTTGTGTATCCCATTAGACTTACTAATTGACATGTTATTGTGGCCCAACCTCAGCTCGTTTGTTCTTTGAGAGTATGCTGAGAACATGTCGAGATACGGGCCCATAGTTCCATACCAATTAGCCTTGTCCTCCTGATCAAAATCCACGTAGTCCAACCCATTGGCTTTCGTTATCTTTATCCATTCGTCCTGTGCGTTATCGGTAGGGACCAGATACTCTCCCCCTCTATAGCTGATCTTGAAGGAAGTGTCACGGGTCTTTCGCATCGTGTTAGTCTCTACACCCCTCACGCTTTGCCTACAAATGTTGTGAAGAGTGAATATAATACTGGTTATATGGTTACCCACATTTATATTACTTAACAAGTCAAGCGCTGTTGGTTGGTAATGTGATGGTTTTGAAGAGCCTTGAGCAGAGATGTCCCTCATTTCAGTGTCCTGACCAACCATTGGTTTTGATATCACACAAGATATTATGCGTTCATACATTTCCACTATCGACTTTAAGCAATTGTACTTTTTATTTGAATCAAGCTCGATTATTGGTTTTTTCGAATCCTCTATTGGTTTTTGTGTGTCAGGATCTACTATCAAGTCCTCTAATTTCCTCTTCGTTGTTTTGCGTTGTTCTTCAGTAGTCATTTTGCTATCTGATGTATGTTTCCTTTTTGCTCCTTATATATTTTCAAAATATAGGATTACTTCACAATATCAACGTGAAATAGATCAGATCAACGTGCACTTTTAATAAGAATATGCCTATCACTAGCGTTATTTTTATAATTAACTAGCTGACCCGGTGAACTTCGTACCGCCATATTTACATATCTGTCTCAGCTTCCCACAGGCAGTGTACAGTCGCGGACAAAAAAATTGACATTTCCCGTTATCTTTTAATTTTTCTTGTACACAAACCTTGTCCTAACAATAAGAGACACATAAAAAAGAATAATTTAATTTGGTGCAGCCGATCGGAAGTTATGCGCGTACATACATTTCGGTGATTCATTTTTATTTATATAGATTTCATTCTTCATTTATTTGGGAACAAAACTGGAAGTCAGAAAACATTGTTGGAATGTTTAACAGAGTGAGGGAATGATTTATTATTACATTATAATAAAAAACATGTACAAGTAAAGGGAATTATGTAATTTTTATTATATTAAACAATGAAATATCATATTCTAAAGAAAATCAACACAAAGCTTTGTACTTATAGTCAATTTAAATATATGTAACTTAAAAAATTAACAAATACACTATTATAAAGGTGACAAATGTTTTTATCTTTATACTTATCACTATTTATTTTTAAACTTTGTACTTAGCATTTCTGCAAAACTTAAAATGTCTTCATATTTATTTATTAAGCAATAATTATTAATATTAATCTGTAATTAATATTTTCTTGCATTAGTTTTTTGATCTTTGAGATCAATGAAATTCAGTCTTAATTTTAACATCACTTTTAGCGTTATCTAACTCTGTAATAACGTAATTCCCCATTCTTAACTAACTTTGGCGTCTTTATTTTCTGTATCACATCTTACCAGCTATATACTTGCTCATCTTGAATATTAGGCCATCTCCAAGACTTCAAACCTTGCTTCATACACCTAACCATTAAACCATCTAGGTCTACGATATCATGGCCTTCTGCCACGACTTTATCAGCTGTCCATTTCAGGGTTCCACCGACACCGTCAAGCGCTCCCTTACCGTGCCCGGGTTCAGAATAATGCCATGAAGTGTGCGTTTTCTGGATATAGATCTTTTAGATGGCTACACACCATTTCGATCAAGCATTTTATTTTTATATTGATTTACCGGGCCCATCACTCAACATATGTAATCGGGAAATAGGTAAATGTTGTGTTTTTATCCACTCAAATATGGGTTTTAAGTGAGCCCAAACATCCATTGTGTCATGTCTATTAACGCTAGCGAGAGAACAAAAGGATACAGGTTTGATCGCATTAACCTTGCGCAAGTAAAGCACTCCTGTATGCATTGTAATCTGCTTCCTTCCTCCATCAAAGTGCACAGCTTGTATCTCCTCATTATACTTGCAGCAATAGTTTTCGCTGTAATCTACATGAATTAGAATGTCGTTTATTGTTAAATATTTCTTTATATTTTGAATGGCTTGATATTGATGTACTATAGTGCCAGTATGTGAAAAAAAAAGTGGGAATGCTGCTTCCAGATTTTGAACAAGCGGTTTCAATTTAACCCTATATTCTTTATTCACGAGTTTACGAACTGTCTTTTTTGCCGTCCTTTTCAAATGAACTTTCTTCATATAGTGCCACCAACTTATCTGTTCAGTAGACGGCGTCGCTACTGGAGCGATAGGTGTTGCTATTTAAAAAAAAAATCAGGAGTTTAGGGTATTTGAAACATACGAAATCCCGTGAGCTGTAATTTTAAATATTGATCGGAGTTTATTAATTAATGTTTAAATATCATAACTATATAATTTATAAATTAGTTGAAAAGAAAGAAATATTTTGTTTTGCAAACAGATAATACGATTTATTATACCAAACTAGTTACATTATATTTTATAAAAATAATTGCGGTCGTGATCTCTAAGTTCCAGTGGCTGCACCCCAGGAATTCCAATAGAATATGATGAACTGGTGGTGGGGCAGACTGGTGATACCCACGGCTCATCATCTGAATCACTTAAATCGCTTTCACTATCACTCTGTAATTGAATAATGAAAGGTTCATCTAAATGAGCATCCTTTTTTCTGTACTCACATGCATTTTTTTCACGTGTTGGCAGTGGTTTTTCCACTCTGCTGAACTGATCTTGCAAAATGCATTTTCAATTAACTGGGGCATTTGAGCACTTGACTTCCCAACATTTTACTCTGCAACATTTCTCTTCATTGAACTCCATATCATTTCTATGGGGTTCAAGTCGCAATGATATGGAGGCAACCTAAGGACAGAATGACCGTGGCTTTTTAATAAATTATCAATTTCATATTCTGGAGCAGGTTCGTTTCTTTTTATTAACTCCAGCAGTTGAGGCTTTGTTATTTGTTCTGAAAATTCAATATTTTTTTCAGATAGCCACTCTTGCATGACTGCTTTACTTGACTGTGGTTAGAGTTAGGAACTAGGAGTTAGGCAAACGCTGTGATAGGGCGCATTGTCCATAACAATTAGTGAGGGTTTATGTAGGTTCGGTAGTAATTTTCCCAGAGTCCACTTTTTAAAATTATTATTGTTCATTTCGTCGTGGTAATCACCACTTTTCGTGTTTGATTTAAATAAAAGCAGAGCATTCTCCACAAAACCTTCTTCTCCCCCTGCATGAACTATAATCCACCGGTGACCTTTAGAGACTGGTTCCAAATCACCTTCGACATCAGGGCCTTGCCAGCACTTGCCAGTTGAGTGAGATGAGTGTATGTAGGTTTCATCTAAATAAGTAACTGGTCTATCCTCACCATACTCATTATTATGAATTTTTTGTATATAAGTCGCCCTCCATGCGACTATATCATTACGCTCACAAAGCACTTTTCTATTTGATTTGGTTTTTTTAAAGCGAAATCCTATTTTGTGGAGCAACTTTCTGAGTGATTCACGTTTCCCCTGGAAATCGATATCTTCTCTTAAAATGTTCAATAGCTTGGTTATAGAAGGAATTTCTTTTTTTACTGAATAAAATTCATGGATTTTTCTCCTAATCACACCAATATCAAAGTCATCAACTTCTAGTTTCCCTGTGCTCGTTTTTCTTCATTCATTAATTTATAAACAAATCGCTCACTAACACCTGTAACAAAAAGTGGCTCATCAAACTTAAGAAATAATGTTTTTTTTTTATTTATTCGGGTGGAATAAACAGTGAACACAATGTAGGTATACGTTTAACGTTTATGAAAATAAAGAATAGTAAAATGGTTCACTAGTTAGTAGTAGTGGGGGCGACGTATCTATTATATTGTATTTTATTTCTAACTTTCAGTGGTTACATATAGAGAATAAATATGAAACATAAGCTGAAAATTAAAATAATTTAAGTGGGAAATTTTACTGTTCTTAGACTATAACACTAACCTGTAGCGGCAGCAACACGTTGTGGCATTTTTTCAAATGGTATTTTTGGAGATTGGAGGCGTTTTTCTTCGTTCATAAAAGATAAAACTTTTAAAATAATAACTCTAGCATCACTTTTAAGAGCTTTCGGCATTTTAATTGTAGTTTTAATAATAAAATCAAATGATAAACACAGAGAGCACCCACACCTTGTAAACTGACACGCAGATTGACGCAGATTTAGTTCCGATTTTGTCTACTGAACAGATAAGTTGGTGGCACTGTAAATCCATTGTCGATAAGTCACCAACTGATTAGGCATTGGTAAATAGTATTTCAAAGAGCGTTCCTTGCAGGTTGAACATTCCCTGAATAGACATTTTGTGGAATGCTCCCAAAAACTAATAATAATCACAAATTATATACTAAAATACTTAATACATACATGTAACGTGAGGTATAGATCGCCATAAATGTGTTCTATATATCTCTTAACAATTTTGAACATAATATGTTTTTGCACAAACTCACCTACAGTTGAGAAGAAATCGCCATCTTGAATTATTTGAGAGTGTTGCCAGGTACTAAAAACTTAAGGTTGCGTTCCTAAATATCGTTCGATACGTTCAGAAATCGAATATTCGTAATAGGGTGAGGGAATGATTTTATTTGGTGGGACATATTTAACCCTCTGCGACTGACGTGCCCTGTTTTCCTGTGCCCTGTTTTCCACATCCGATGGAGCCACTGAATTAAAGGAAGAAGAAGAATCTGTTTTCCGTTCTCGATCGTTGAAGACTCACGGTGTTTTATTATAGGTTATGGGCCCAGACCTATTTAAATAGCTATTATTAAGTTTATTGTTAGTATTATCAGTGTGATGAACAATAATCTCTGTGTATTACTAAGAGAATTAGTGTGTTTAGTGAACAGTGAGCTCCCGGGGAAAAAAAATATATATAACTAGCTGACCCGGCGAACTTCGTACCACCTTAGCGTAGCAATGATGCACTACTTTATTTTGTATAGCTGACCTATCTTAGGTATGAGTACCTATTCAATTTGAACTGGAATCTATAATATCCTCCATATAAAAATGAATCCATAATTCCCTGGTCTCGCTATACCTGAAAAGGACCTTACTAATTTAATTAAATAAAAAACAAAATATATATTTTCATAATAGTGTTTATATCATAGGATTCAATAATTCCACTAATGTTTTTACAAATCGCTATTGAACAACTTGGCATTTTTAAGTAAACACTGAGCTCAATACCACGCGCGCTCTAGAAAGCAACTAATAGTCTCTGTACCCTTCACTGCTTCTCTCTACTCTAATGCTTTTTGATAAACTATATTTTTAGTTTTATGTTCTGGCGCGTAAATAAATAATGTTGATGGTTTTCCGACACGAGAACAGGCGACATATAATTGGCCATGTGAAAAACATGGATTTTCTAGGTTGATGCCACATACACTTAGCGACTGCCCTTACGATTTATTTATTGACATTGCAAATGCAAGCCGCACTGGAAACTGTAAACGCTTAAAGCTGAATGGCATGTCGTTCGGTATCATAGGGATGCGTGGGATTAAAACATCTTCGCCTTTGTACTTCCCTTTCAAAATTGTGGCTTCGATGACATTGTTCAATAATTTCTTCACCCCAAGCCGGGTGCCATTACACAGACGTGGCTGGTTTATGTTCCGTAACATAATAATTACTGATCCGATTTTTGCTTGCAGATTATGAGGTGGTAAGCCGGGCAATTCCAGCTAATTTAAAAATTCTGTTGGATAATTGACAACTTCATCTTCATTAGTAACGGAATCAACTGATTTGTAATTCTTCAATTCGCCAGCTATTTTCTCTTGAATCTGAAAATTCATTTCGTTCACATCAACATTTTTTGCGGCCAATATAACACGTTCGCTTAACCAAACGTGATTTACGTAATTTTGAGCAATGTTTGGGAAAACCATCTCCATGAGTTCGGTCTTTGATTCACAAAAGTTACAAAAATTGGTAGGGAATGTAATGTATCCAGATGATGTATCAACAGCAATATTACCATTACCAATATCGAGCAGTTGTTTGGAAAACACTTCTCCAGACTGGTCTTCCTGCAATTTGACTCTCATGTTTATACTCAATTTAAGTGTTTTAATGTATTTCCATAAAATGGACGACTTCAAACATGCATTTAGTTCATCAGCTGGCGTTGAGCGTGGAACAACTGGCAATATTTGTCGAAAATCACCTGTCAATAGTATCATTGCACCACCAAACCGGTTTTTGTTATTTCGTAAATCTTGCATTGAGCGATCTAATGCCTCCAAAGATTTTTTGTGTGCCATCGTGCATTCATCCCAAATGATCAATCTGGTTTGCTGCAGCACTTTGGAAATGGCAGAATTCCTCGAAAGGTTGCAAGTTGGAGTTTCATTTATTTGAAGGTTCAACGGCAACTTGAGAGCTGGGCCTCAATTCTGCTATTTTATGTTTACGCAAAGCCACTGTCATATCACTGACACGCTATTAAGATGCCATCGAGTGGCCATTGGCATCGGTATTAATTTTCGGTAGTCTGCACTAACTCAGTGTCTTTACAGTGGCAATGGAATGGTAGTGGCTCATCAGTGGTGATATCAAAAAGATTGCCATGTTTGGAAAAATAAATAAATCATTTAATTATAATTTGAAAATGTATTACGTTTTTTTTATTTTGGTACATGAAGTTGTTATGAATTTATCATATTTATTGTTAAAAATGTATAAACTACAACGACATAATACACCGTAATTAATAAAATTATCGGTGGCTGTTTGTAAGTGCTATTGCCAAATGAAAAAAGTGTCACTGACTTATCTATCATTGATGGAACGGACCAGCAAATTTAAAATGCTTTCTAAAGAAATAGTAAGTACTTACTTTCGTATTTTTTAGATGTTATGGATTATATAAAATTGTATTATCTATTTCTGCAAACAAATATATTAATAAAATTATAGTTTAACACTTCATAGTGCATCATTGTCTTTACTTTGAATTTTTGTAATTCAAACTCCTAAATTCGTTGCAGAAATGGCGAGTGAGATGCAATTAGATGCGTTTGATGTTCCTGGTTCAAGAAAGGATGCAGTCTGGCGAAGCGATTATGGACGGAGTGCGCAAATATATGGTGTTTCGCTTGACTGCCAGAGTAGAAAGTAGTGAGTATTAATTTACATTTGTTCTATTCTTCTAGGCACCCCTCCACCAATCTCTTTTTTTATGAGAAGGCAATAACGAAATAAGTTAGGGCAAATAGTCCACTACGTTGTCTGCTAATTTCAACAGGCTTTCTTTATTTTAATAATATCCTGTTAAAAGTTAATATTTATTTTATTCTTTTGAGGTTTATAAAAAATACAAATTAAAAAGCAAAGAACATAGAGAAAATAAAAAACAAATATCTGTGATGAACTTTATAAAAATAAAATAATAACAATGGTAAAACTACATAACTTTTATTGTGAAACTAGTATAATATATTTTGTTTTCCTAAGATGATCTTCATTGCTTTCAGGAGATGGCCCAGCAACTCTCATCACCTTGACACCACTGTAAGAGTGGTTATATTATATTATGGACCGAGATATTGGGGAAACATTTAGAAGGTGTGCCCTATGTTGTGCATGTGCCCTTGCCATATTTGTAAGTGAAGTACTTTAGCAGCAAGCCTGAAAATAAATATTGTGAATTATATGTTGTAGTAACATTTTCTTTTTTTTTCAGAAATGTAACATCCATGACCTATAGCTGTCCCTCAAATAAAAAAAATTCAATGACTATGTTGTTTTCTTTTACTTTTCCTTTTTTGATAGCACACAAAATAATAAGTATTTCATTCATTGAGCTGCTGCTTTAAAATCTATAATTATTATTATTAATATGTAAAAAAACATGATAGAGTTAATTTGTCATGATAGATTCATTTGATAGAGTTAATTTGTCATGATAGATTCATTTGATAGAGTAAATTTCATCAATATGTGTACTCAGCGTCTGTAGTCTTTAAACATCCCAATACAGCGCTCAACAGTATTGGGTGACATGCAAATTATAATGGTAATGCTCTGCAGTTCTTTCAATGTTGTTTAAAGCTGGAGTGATCAACCACTTGCACAAGGTGTATCACAAAGAAATTTTAACATTTTGTAATAAATTCTTTAATATAATAACAATACATTTTTAAAACTACTTGGCTACTAATTGATTATTACAAAACTGAAATATTATACAAATGGTTTCTAGACTAGTACATGTTATTGCAACAAATACTAAAAATGAATGATCTTCACCGGGACCAGCTAAACCCATTAAGTGTTGGCTGTGGATTACCGGAGTCATGGGCTGCATCAGGGATATTGGCCCGGACACACATGATGTTAAGATCAGAATCACATACCTATAAATTATTGTTAACATTAAGTAAACTGAAAAATTGATCACTTATAGATAAATTGGTAAAAATAAACATTTAATTTAATAGTACATTGTCAACACTGACCCTTCAGCCTTCATTACATATTTCACCAAGAGGCAATCATCCCTTAGGTAAAGTTTTATGGGATTTAATAGTTTTTTATTCATTATGAAATATTATAGATAAGTGGCACCGGCTTTATTGTCTCTTAAATTTTTTATTAAGATATAATTATTATAGATATTGTCTTGTAAGTTGTTCCACTTAGATAAATTAAAATGTTAAAGGTATATACTTACTTGGCATTTATGTCATTTCTTTCTTGATGATTCTGTATGATGGTAGGATGATTCAATGCCTTGGTCACTTGTCTAATAGTTTGTGAACATTTTGGAATGCACTTTGGTTTGATATGATCCTGGCATTTAAAATGATATCAGAAGCTGAAATACAAAGTAGATATCAGAAAACTGTAAAGTTAATTTAACTAAAACATAAATTACCAATAGAACATTTGTTTTCATATTATTAACTTTACCTTTGTCTGAAGGAATAATGCTGATATCTTCTCCACAAGGCTTTTTGTTAGCCTAAACACTTTTATAAATGTGTCCTCGCATATTATGTCTAATATTTACCACTTTGTCTCGACAAACCACGAGCTCATCGGCGATTTCAAACCTCTTTAACTCGACGATCTTCGTTGTAAGCAGCTTCTAATATTTGCCTCCGTTGCAAGTTGAGGCATTTTTGTTTACGCACTTTAATTACTTATCTATTGAATTAACGTAAATAACTAAATACGCACATAACACTCTCAAAAAAGCAGTGACTGCTTGATGGCAGATCAATGATAGTTTAACAACAATATTATTCACTCTGAAGCCATCGTGGTGTCATTGAAACAACTGTCAATTCTGTCAAACACTTGTAGACTACCGTTTAGCAAACTATTGAACAGACATCGAAAACATTTTGTATCAGTGACAAGTCATCGGGAGGCCATTGGTCTTTATTTAGTTAGCAGATTACGAAAAGTGTTGTCGATGTCTCTGCAATAGTTTGACATACGGTATTCTGCTCATATTGACAGTAGTTTCAATGACGTCACGATGGCTTCAGGATGACTATTTGTCACTTAACTGCCATTGATCTGACACTATCAACAACTAGACATAACATTAAATTATAACTTTACTGTAAAACGTGTTCCGTATTTAAAAATAAATATGCTTCCAATATCATATTTACGGTGGCAATTTTTAGAAGCTTCTTATAACGAAGACCGAAGAGAAGAGGCTACAAAACGCCGCCGAGCTCGTGCTTTGTTGCGAAGTTTTAACGTGTTAACAATGATATCCGATGACGAGTTCGTCAAAACGTTTAGAATTAGTAAAAGCCTTGTAAAGCAACTTGCAGAGGATGTCAGCAGAATTATTCCGCTTGAGCAGAGAAAGGATGGAATTTCTGTAATAATGAAGGTAAGGTTAATAAAATGAAAACAAATGGTATTGTTGTAAATAAAATGTATGCTTCAGTTACTTTCACCTTATAGTTTCCTGATACCTATTTTGTATTTCAGCTTCTGATAGCCCTGTCATTCTATGCTACAGGGTCATATCAAAGTTTGGTAGGGCAAAGTGCATTTCACAATGTATCACAAGCCACCGTGTCAAGGGCTGTGGGACAAGTGACCAAAGCTTTGAATGATCCTACCATTTACCACAAATATGTGAGATTCCCATTGGAACAGCAAGACAGGAATGACATAAAAGCCAAGTAAGTTCATACCTAGATGCCTTTTATTAATGTATTTATCATTGAAGGATTATCAATTACCTCTATAAAACATGAGAAAGTGAAGGCTTGCCCCTTATCAATATCATAAATATAAATGTTAAGTTGGTTTGTGTATGCTTCAAAAACTCAAAAAGTTCTGCACTGATAGAGCTCATATTTTGACACGATATACAACCTTCAAAGATTTTGGTCATCTTATTTTGCAACTACAATGTATCACAGCGAAGCATGACAGAGAACAGCTAGTATTTTATAAAACTTATGCTTGGTGGAGTCTTTGTAATGGTGTACATTACACAGACTCCACCATGCAAGGTATGGATCTACACGTAGTCGGTAATAATTTGTCGGTAATTAACAGCATTATTTGCTTTTTAGATTCTATCATAAATTTAAAATCCCCGGGGTTCTTGGATGCATTGATGGCACACATGTGGCTATTTTGAGACCTCACGTACATGAAGAACGATATTTTAACCGAAAAGGGTACCATTCATTAAATGTTATGATTGTAAGTATTTATTTGCACCAGTTTATTTATCATTCAGTCATTTTTCAGTTTGCTTAATGCTATCAATAATTTACAGGTATGTGACTCTGATCTTCAAATCATGTGTGTCGATGCCAGTATCCCTGGTGCAGCCCATGACTCCAGTGTGTGGCAGAGTAATCCACTTAGCCAACACTTAATTAGTTTAGCTGGTTCCGGTGGAGATGGTTCATTTTTATTAGGTGAGTATGTAGGCCAAAACCTCCTCTCTCAGGAGAGGCCTATGTCCAGCAGTGGACTATTCAAGGCTGTTGATGATGATGAAGATGAAATCTTGGAATAAAATGTACAATGTCTAGAAACCATTTGTATATTTTAGTTTTTTATCAGTAATAATTGACTGATAAAAAACTTTACATAACAGCAAATTTTAAAAAAACAGCTGCTATTAGTTATTAATAAAATAAGGAATTTAATACAAATTGTTAAAATTACTTTATTTTAGGTGACAGTGGATACCCCTTGCGCAAATGGATGATGACACCAATTTTACACACCACTGAGGGAACTCCACAGCAATATTATTATGATTTGCATGTAACTGCGCGCAATACTGTTGAGCGTTGTATTGGGGTGTTGAAAGCACGGTTCAGGCAAAGATGGAATTAACCCTACCAAATGAATTACATGTTTGTCATGTCACAGGCCAATGAACTAAATATCTTATTTTTTGTATGCCATCAGTTGGAATAGTAAAACAACATAGTGCTAGATAAATATTTTTTTTATTTAACGTAAAGCTATTATTCAGTCTTGATTGGATTAATGTCTTGATTGGATTAATCAGTCTTGATTAGATGTAGAAAAATTCTGAAAATAAAAGAAAATGTTAATACTCAGTATAATTATCAATATTTATTTTTAGGTGTTTGCTTGCTGCTCGAGCACTTCATTATGCTCCGAATACTGCAGGGCAAATAGTGAACGCCTGCTGTGTTCTGCACAACATTGCGAACCGCGCCAAAAATCCTGTCCTGCCTTTACTGCCTGAGGAAGTTGTAGCGGAGAATTTGCGTCAATATCAGGTAAAGTTTCAAATTCATTGATTGGGTCTCAATTTAAACCCTAAGTTTTTAATTTTGTTTTAATACCTAATCCCTGTTGTTTCATTAATTTTAGGTTCAAGAAGATTTGAGAGCAGAGGCTGAGACCGTAGTAACGATAGGTGGTCGGGTTAATCGTGACCTGCTGGAAGGCCGGGCCATGCAGCAGGCACTTGTGAACAAATTGTGGGCAGAAAGATAATTTTATTAAAATTAAAAACATTTACTACTGCCATAAGTGTTTTTGTTACCTACTTTTAATTTAATCGGAGTCAGATTCTGAAGGGATAATAATCCTGGCCCTTTTTCTCTGAAAGGAACATAAAATAACTTGTTAAAAAAATATAAATTATGTGTTGATGCTTAAGATTCTACTTGAAGGAATAAGCCTACCAGAGGCGGGGAACCACTGCTGTTTCTATGGTATACTTGCAAAAGTTGGCTAATGACAGTGGCCAGACGATCCAACGGCTGACCAATGGTAGTAGCCAGACGGTCCAAAGCAGCCGTAAAAGCCATTGTTCTTTCGCTTTCCATTTCGGCTAACCTGCGTTGGGCCTCCTCTAAACGACTTGTTGGTTCATGTGCTGCAGGGCAAATATATATTTACGTTACATGATTCTGTCCATATGAAAAGGTATTGTGAACATATACAGTTAAGTAAAAGTAAAATTACCACTTCGGGGTTGAGATCCCTCCAAACTTCGACGTCCACGACGTCGCCGATGTGTAGAGCCGCTGTATGGACGAGGAGTAGGCTCCACAGTGCCAATGAGTTCCACATGACTTGCTTGTACTGTAGAGTTAGCTGAGTCCACTATGGAGATTACTGGCTCCACAGCACTAGCGAATATTGCAGAGCTTGCTGACTCCAAAGAAGGAGTCACCTCAAAGGACACTGCTTGGGCCTGTGTGTTATGTCTGTAATAAAGTTAACATTCTTGATATTATAATTTTAATTTTCATAAAAATTATAATATTAGCCACCGCCGCTAATTTCTTAACAGTTCGTATGTATCTCTCTGCTAAACCATTACCTTGGTGATGTTTTGGACTTATTATCTTATGTTCAAAATTCCATTCTCTAGAAAAACTTTTAAATTTAAAGTTGGTGAATTGAGTTCCTGCATCTGTATAAATTATATTTGGAATACCATGCCTTGCTAGAATTTCTTTAATACTGTCAATTGTACTTTTTGCATATAAATTATCTAATGGTTGTATTTCCACATATTTTTTTTATTTTTTTATTATTATTATTTGTTATTGGTATTTGTGGAATTTCCTGTTCAATCATTGACTCTTTCCTATTTATATTCTGAAAACTTTTACAAGTGTCATAATTTTGTATGAAATCTTCTATCTCTTTACTCATATTTGGCCAAAACACTGAATTTCTTGTTGACACTTTACTTTTTTCTATTCCTAAGTGTTCATAATGTATGTTTTCTAATACTTCCTTTCTTTCTGATTGTGGAATTACTATATTTCTACCTTTTACAATTAATCTTCTAATATTACTCAACTCTTCTCTGTAACTATGAAAAATTTTAGCTCTACTATCTATCTGTGACTTACTTTCCGGCCATCCTTCTAGTATATATTTATTTACTGTCATTAATTCCTCATCTTTTGTTGTTTCTAACACTAATTCTTTAAGTTTTTTATCTGATATTCTAAAACTTTCCATAATCATGGCTACATGTGTTTCTACTTTTAGATCTGTATTCTCTTCTGTTTCTAATAAATAAGACCTACTCAAATGATCTGCTACTAATAGTTCTTTTCCTGGTTTATAATTTAACTCAAATGTATAGGGTTGTAAAGCCATTCTCATCTTTTGCAATCTTGCTGGACATCTATTCAAATGCTTGGAAAAAATTGATACCAGCGTTTCATGATCTGTCTCTACTTTAAATTGACTTCCATACAAATATTGATGAAACTTAGTTATTCCATATAAAATTGCTAAACATTCTTTTTCAATCTGGCTGTATTAAATTTCTGTTTCTGTCATTGCCTTAGAACCATAAGCTATTGGTTTTCCTTCCTGTAAAATTACTCCTGTAAAATCCTGCCTTTGAAGCATCTACACTAAGTACTATCTGTTTATTTATATCAAAATAACTCAATACTGGTGGTTCAATTAACAATTTTTTTTAAAGTCTTATAAGCTCTATCTTGTTCTTTAGACCATACAAAAGATACATCTTTTTTAATTAATTGTCTCAATGGTGATGTTACCTCTGACACATTGAAGAGTATAAAGTAAAAGTTGAGAATACAACATCAAAAAGAATTAAAATTTTAAGAAGTGATAATGGCAGAGAACTTTGTAATAGGGAATTTGACAATTATTTGAAGCAAGCTGGTATTCTTCATCAGAAAACAAATCCCTATACACCTGAACAAAACAGGCTTTGTGAGCGTATGAACAGAACTATCGTAGAAAAGGCCAGATGTCTTTTGTTCGATGCTAAACTCGGTAAGGAGTTCTGGGCAGAAGCCATTAACACCTCTATTTATTTACAGAATAGAATTGTGACAACTACATTGAATAATCGCACGCCATATGAGTTATGGACAGGTTCCAAACCAAACCTTAGTCATATAAAAGTTTTCGATAGTACCGTCATGAAACACATACTTAAGGAGAAAAGAAGCAAATGGAACTATAGTTATGTGGAGTAGTATATGTACTTACGGGTGAATATAAATAAAAGTCAATATCCACTTACTGTTATAATTTATACACACAACAACACGATATACTATTTAAAAGACAGAAGGAGTACAAGCAAGAGACACAATATACACAACGCGACACAGAATATATTGTCTATTCACAACACTTTATACTATATAAATTTACTTAATTAAATAAGACGGAATGTCAACAATAACCGAGAACGCGCAGGCTGTAAGGGGGCCATGGACCAACTAACTTAACGTACTTACTATACGATCGTTCTGGAGCGACCCACATCACTCAACACTATACTGGTGACCCCGAAAGAACACTAAAAACAATATTAATAATGAGTGAGAGTGATACTGAACACACCGCGTCGTCACAGCCCGCAGACCACGGTGAGCACCATGCACGTAGGACTAAGGGCGTGTCGAGTACAAAGGTCGAGCCGGCGGAGGTGCACCGCGTCGCTTTGCGCCTGCCCCCATTTTGGCCCGAAGAGCCCGATATTTGGTTCGCGCAAATAGAGGCGCAGTTTGAGAACGCAGGGGTAACGACAGACATGACGAAATACAACTACGTCGTGGGACATCTCGACCCCCAGTTCTCAAAAGAGGTGAAGGACATCATCATGTTCCCCCCTGACACCAACCGGTATGGGAAATTAAAAACTGAATTGGTGCGTAAACTCTCAGCCTCCCAGGAGCGAAAGGTGAAGCAGCTTCTGATGCACGAGGAGCTGGGAGACCGAAAACCATCGCAGTTCCTTCGACACCTGCAAGGGTTAGCAGGACCAACGGTGACCGAAGACTTTGTGCGCACTATCTGGTGTAGCCGACTCCATACCAATATCCAGCCCCTTCTAGCATCGCAGCCCCAAAGCACCCTAGAGGCGCTAGCCGAGCTGGCTGACCGCGTCCAGGATATCGTGGCGCCGACGAACCACGTTGCAGCAACTTCGGCGACAGGTCCCTCGGCCAGCGAGATGGCAGCTGAGATCGCCGATCTTAAGCGCGCGATGAACGACCTAACGCTGTAGCTAAGTGACAGCCGTTTGCGGAAACGCTCTCACACCCGTGGTCGAGACGCGCGACGGCACTCACGCATAACTATACTGGTGACCCCGACGTGACAATAAGTGAACAATGCATACTTGTTGGTTATCGTGAGGATGTTAAAGGATACAGAATATACAATCCTTCAACACGGGTAATCACAACTAGTCGAGATGTCATCATTATTAAAGAAAACGCCTCATATGAAGAGAATATGATTTAAATAGAAGAGATAAATGACAACACAAAAGAAAGCAGAGTGTCTCAGTCTTCAGTGGGAGATCTATCAAACACCAGCAGAGAGGATTCATGTGTTTCTTTGGAAAGTGCTTGCTGTGTTGCTGTACTATGACATGGATGTAACTTATGTACCAGATGAGGAGTTCATGAGACCTGTGACGAGTTACAATCACACATAGTGAAAACATTACCTAAAAGGCAGAGGAAAACAACCTGACAGATATGGATTCATGTGTACAGAAGAATGTAATGAATCTTTCAGCAATGAAGTGACATTAGAAGAGGCACTGCAAGGACCAGAAAAGGAGCATTAGGAACAGGCTGTCAAAGAGGAACTGAAAAGTTTTGAAGACAACAATGCTTGGGAATGCAATGCTGTCTATAGATGAAAACTATTGGTAGTAGCAAAACTATTGTGACTTTGTATGCTGATGATTTTTTTGTATTTTCTAATGACTTTAGTGAAACCAATCATATTAAAAGCATGTTAAGTAAAAATTTTGAGCTAAAAGACTTAGGGATTGTAAAGGAATGTCTTGGGATGTCAGTTAGTTTTAATAAGCAAAATTGTACTGTTACTTTGAGTTAAGAGAAATATATTGATACTGTCCAAATTCAATATGACCAATTGTAAAACAGTTAATACTCCTATGGAGGGAAATTTAAATAGTAAAAGGGAGGGTAATTGTAATAACCAGAATCCCTATCAGCAGCTTATCGGAAGCTTAATGTATTTACTCGTAGTTGTTCTTACACGACCCGATATAGCTTTTGCTGTGACATATTTAAGTCAATTTAATCATTTGAATACTCAAGAGCAGTGGGTTTATGCAAAAAGAATATTGAGATATTTAAAAACACAAAAGATTTAGGTTTGAAATATAGTAAGGGAAAAAATGTTAATATTGAAGGCTATGTGGATGCAGACTGGAGCAATGATATTAATGGTAGAAGGTCATATTCAGGAATTTGCTTTAATGTCAGGCTCTGTTATATCTTGGAGCTGTAGTAAACAAAAGTGTATTGCGCTGTCTAGTACAGAGGCAGAATATGTATCAATTTTGGAGGCGTGCAAAGAGGCAGTATATTTAAAAAACTTGCAATATGAAGTGACCAAAAAATTCTACAAAATTACCATGTATAATGACAGTATGAGTGCGCAAAAACTACTATTAAACCCTGTTTTCCATAATAAAACCAAGCATATTGATGTCAGATATCACTATTGTAGAGATATCGTCACATCCATGGCAAACTTACGAATCTGTCATTTTAGTAAATCTATATTTTTTATGAAAAATCGCACCTGATGTGGTATTACACACTTTGGAAAACTTACGGATTGCTATCACTAACGGATACAGAATTCAAATTGTTCGAATCTGTATCTTATACTCGTAATAGATACACCCATAGTAAATTTACCAAACTGATATAGGATATTTAAGCGTGGTACAATTTATAGAAGTCGAAGCAAAAAGACACTGTCCAATTGCGAATCTGACATATTCGAAAATTTACATTGGTGACAAACATTATTCAAGTAGGTCTAGTGAGCTCCAGCAAATATGTCAATCTGACATATTCGTAAACTTACATTGGTGACAAACATTATTCAGGCGGGTCTAGTAAGCTACAGCAAACATGCCAATCTGGCATATTTGTAAATTTACATTGGTCACAAATTTATACAAGTTGGTCAAGTGAGCTACAGTAAATATGCCAATCTGACATATTTATAAATTACATAGATCATATACTTTACTCAGGTGGTATGTGGAGTAGTATATGTACTTACGGGTGAATATAAATAAAAGTCAATATCCACTTACTGTTATAATTTATACACACAACAACACGATATACTATTTAAAAGACAGAAGGAGTACAAGCAAGAGACACAATATACACAACGCGACACAGAATATATTGTCTATTCACAACACTTTATACTATATAAATTTACTTAATTAAATAAGACGGAATGTCAACAATAACCGAGAACGCGCAGGCTGTAAGGGGGCCATGGACCAACTAACTTAACGTACTTACTATACGATCGTTCTGGAGCGACCCACATCACTCAACACTATACTGGTGACCCCGAAAGAACACTAAAAACAATATTAATAATGAGTGAGAGTGATACTGAACACACCGCGTCGTCACAGCCCGCAGACCACGGTGAGCACCATGCACGTAGGACTAAGGGCGTGTCGAGTACAAAGGTCGAGCCGGCGGAGGTGCACCGCGTCGCTTTGCGCCTGCCCCCATTTTGGCCCGAAGAGCCCGATATTTGGTTCGCGCAAATAGAGGCGCAGTTTGAGAACGCAGGGGTAACGACAGACATGACGAAATACAACTACGTCGTGGGACATCTCGACCCCCAGTTCTCAAAAGAGGTGAAGGACATCATCATGTTCCCCCCTGACACCAACCGGTATGGGAAATTAAAAACTGAATTGGTGCGTAAACTCTCAGCCTCCCAGGAGCGAAAGGTGAAGCAGCTTCTGATGCACGAGGAGCTGGGAGACCGAAAACCATCGCAGTTCCTTCGACACCTGCAAGGGTTAGCAGGACCAACGGTGACCGAAGACTTTGTGCGCACTATCTGGTGTAGCCGACTCCATACCAATATCCAGCCCCTTCTAGCATCGCAGCCCCAAAGCACCCTAGAGGCGCTAGCCGAGCTGGCTGACCGCGTCCAGGATATCGTGGCGCCGACGAACCACGTTGCAGCAACTTCGGCGACAGGTCCCTCGGCCAGCGAGATGGCAGCTGAGATCGCCGATCTTAAGCGCGCGATGAACGACCTAACGCTGTAGCTAAGTGACAGCCGTTTGCGGAAACGCTCTCACACCCGTGGTCGAGACGCGCGACGGCACTCACGCATAACTATACTGGTGACCCCGACGTGACAATAAGTGAACAATGCATACTTGTTGGTTATCGTGAGGATGTTAAAGGATACAGAATATACAATCCTTCAACACGGGTAATCACAACTAGTCGAGATGTCATCATTATTAAAGAAAACGCCTCATATGAAGAGAATATGATTTAAATAGAAGAGATAAATGACAACACAAAAGAAAGCAGAGTGTCTCAGTCTTCAGTGGGAGATCTATCAAACACCAGCAGAGAGGATTCATGTGTTTCTTTGGAAAGTGCTTGCTGTGTTGCTGTACTATGACATGGATGTAACTTATGTACCAGATGAGGAGTTCATGAGACCTGTGACGAGTTACAATCACACATAGTGAAAACATTACCTAAAAGGCAGAGGAAAACAACCTGACAGATATGGATTCATGTGTACAGAAGAATGTAATGAATCTTTCAGCAATGAAGTGACATTAGAAGAGGCACTGCAAGGACCAGAAAAGGAGCATTAGGAACAGGCTGTCAAAGAGGAACTGAAAAGTTTTGAAGACAACAATGCTTGGGAAGCTGTTGATATTCCTGTAAGTGGAAATATAGTGCAGTGCAAATGGGTCTTAAAAAAGAAGTGTAATTCTGAAAATAATGTCTATTATCGAGCCAGGCTTGTGGCTAAGGGGTGTTCTCAAAAATATGGTGTAGACTACAGTGAAACATTTTCTCCTGTAGCACGGCATACAACGCTTAGGTTACTGTTTGCATTATCAGTGCAGTTAAATCTGGATGTGATTCACCTTGATGTGAAGACAGCCTTTCTAAACGGGGACCTGTCTATTGGTTATGTCTAACTTATTGGTTATGTCTGTGCAGATGATAAAAAGGTTCTTAAATTAAACAAGGCTATATATGGTCTTAAGCAGGCGTCCCGAGCATGGCATAAGAAGGTGGATGCTTGTATGTTAGCAGATGGTTATGTTAAATCTAAAATAGAACCATGTCTATAGATGAAAACTATTGGTAGTAGCAAAACTATTGTGACTTTGTATGCTGATGATTTTTTTGTATTTTCTAATGACTTTAGTGAAACCAATCATATTAAAAGCATGTTAAGTAAAAATTTTGAGCTAAAAGACTTAGGGATTGTAAAGGAATGTCTTGGGATGTCAGTTAGTTTTAATAAGCAAAATTGTACTGTTACTTTGAGTTAAGAGAAATATATTGATACTGTCCAAATTCAATATGACCAATTGTAAAACAGTTAATACTCCTATGGAGGGAAATTTAAATAGTAAAAGGGAGGGTAATTGTAATAACCAGAATCCCTATCAGCAGCTTATCGGAAGCTTAATGTATTTACTCGTAGTTGTTCTTACACGACCCGATATAGCTTTTGCTGTGACATATTTAAGTCAATTTAATCATTTGAATACTCAAGAGCAGTGGGTTTATGCAAAAAGAATATTGAGATATTTAAAAACACAAAAGATTTAGGTTTGAAATATAGTAAGGGAAAAAATGTTAATATTGAAGGCTATGTGGATGCAGACTGGAGCAATGATATTAATGGTAGAAGGTCATATTCAGGAATTTGCTTTAATGTCAGGCTCTGTTATATCTTGGAGCTGTAGTAAACAAAAGTGTATTGCGCTGTCTAGTACAGAGGCAGAATATGTATCAATTTTGGAGGCGTGCAAAGAGGCAGTATATTTAAAAAACTTGCAATATGAAGTGACCAAAAAATTCTACAAAATTACCATGTATAATGACAGTATGAGTGCGCAAAAACTACTATTAAACCCTGTTTTCCATAATAAAACCAAGCATATTGATGTCAGATATCACTATTGTAGAGATATCGTCACATCCATGGCAAACTTACGAATCTGTCATTTTAGTAAATCTATATTTTTTATGAAAAATCGCACCTGATGTGGTATTACACACTTTGGAAAACTTACGGATTGCTATCACTAACGGATACAGAATTCAAATTGTTCGAATCTGTATCTTATACTCGTAATAGATACACCCATAGTAAATTTACCAAACTGATATAGGATATTTAAGCGTGGTACAATTTATAGAAGTCGAAGCAAAAAGACACTGTCCAATTGCGAATCTGACATATTCGAAAATTTACATTGGTGACAAACATTATTCAAGTAGGTCTAGTGAGCTCCAGCAAATATGTCAATCTGACATATTCGTAAACTTACATTGGTGACAAACATTATTCAGGCGGGTCTAGTAAGCTACAGCAAACATGCCAATCTGGCATATTTGTAAATTTACATTGGTCACAAATTTATACAAGTTGGTCAAGTGAGCTACAGTAAATATGCCAATCTGACATATTTATAAATTACATAGATCATATACTTTACTCAGGTGGTCAAGTGACCCCAGAGGTCGCAGAACGACCTCCGTCCTCCATAAGCGCAGGCCTGGGGGTGACAGGTGAGGCCATCTGTCAAAAGTCATTTTATAATGATTCCAGAAAATAGTGATATACGTTCCGGGATAATAAAAACTAAAACAACTCACTTTATGTTTTATGCGGATTATACCGAAAGTAACGACATCTATAAGTATCGACTGGCAAAATTACATGACGTACACACGTATTATACGCCTGAATGAAGTGTACGTAATGTTGTTAAAATTTTAGAACAAATAAAAGACCATTGTATTTCGTTTCATTATTTTCGTAACATTCCAAGGATTGTCCACTAAGATTGTACCGCCTGTTCATAGAGTCTTCAAATCACCAGCAAGAGCATTGCTGCAACGCTGTGTGTTTTATTCAACACATAATACCTGTTTTGTTGGAATGCAAAACAGTTACATTATGTGATTTTCTAAAACACACAGCGTTAATGTGAAGACTTGTTTGTTATCTGCTGGTGGAAGCACAAACGCTACGATGAGTATAAATCATAACACTGTTTAAAAAGTAAATCAATTCTATATTGCAATAACAATTTTAAACTTAAAAAACTTAATTAGCTTATTATCTCTACTAAGCTCTATATTATTCTTACTATATATGTTCATCAAGTCAGGAAATAAATAAATTAAGTCAATATAAAATTATTAATATGATGAGATTATTATTTCTACTAAGCTGTATATTCTTCTTACTATATATGTTCATCAAGTCAAGAAACAAATAAATTAAGTCAATATAAAATTATTAATATAATGAGATCCAGTGGAAAATAATAAGGAACTTTAATTTAAACAAAGATTAAAATTAACTTAAAGGAATAAAAAGTTAATTAAATACTAGAAAAATTGGCACATTGGTCAGCGTTGTTTGTGTCCTCTGTCCTAAGAACTGGTAGACAGTAGAACTTCTTGAAAGTTTCCATTCTTTTCCAGTTACCTCTGTCTAATATTTCCTGAATAGGTCTATTTTTTAGCCAACTTTTTGAGGCTACAGCGGACCTGATGCTACCTGGTGGAGCATTGATCTTTACATCCTTAAAAATTGTACGGTTCCAACCTGCAATCATAGTTCTAAAAGCTGGTTTCAACTGCCCTGACAATGATAGGAAAAGACTTGTGACATTAGTATTCATCTCTCTTCGACTCTTAGACATCTCTATGAGGTTCTTAATGTGCCCAACAGGGCAAACTTGAGGTATTGGATGTCTCCGCAACAACCAACCTGACTGTCTGTGGGTACTAGAATCAGTTTTAGACTCAAATTTAGGCCACAGACTAATCTCATTGTCATTGTGGATTATATTTTGTGGGCTGATATCTAGTAATGTTAGGTCATGTATTCTACGGCCTGAGGCCAATAAGAGTATCAATGCGGTCCTTCTAGCAGTCTCACATAATGAACCTGTGTTGGTAGAGGTCTTTAGCCAATCAAATAAAATTGTTGTATCCCAAATTGGTAACTTTTGGGTGATAGGTCTAGCAAGGGCTAAATGGCTAAATGGCTTTTAAGACCTGGTGTACAAAGAAATTTTTGGAAATGCCTGTGCCTGAAGGGGCACAATATGTGGCAACTGCTGACTTATGTAAAAGAATGGTTTTATAAGCTAATCTTTCTTCTAAAAATAATTTAGCTAAAAATCTAGCAACCTCTGTACCCTTTGGTAACTTAGGATTTACTTGATGATCGTTACACCATGATAACCACCTTTTTAATGGGGCATTATATGTTATTAAAGTAGAAGGCCGCCAACTACTTTTTAATAAATCTTTTTCAGCCCTGGACCAATGGACTACCTTGTCAGCCCACCCCCAATTTTCCAGGCTAGAAGAGACAACTTGTCCACCTGTGAAGGGTGACTGCCTGTGGTTAGATCCACTAATACCTTCCGCAGGTTCTCTATCTGCAGTAGCTCTACTTTGGCTCGTGCTTGCACGTCCGGTAGCCAGAAGCACTTGGTCCACTGTGGTACTACCCCTGGCATTGTTTAAGTGAGCTAATACCCGTGGTATTAAGCTGGGTGGGGGAAATGCCCAGCCCAGTCGAAAGTCCCATTGTCGACTGAAGGCGTCGCAAAAGATAGCAGAACCATCTCTCGAATCTAAAGTTACGTAATTTGCGACAACCGCTGACTCTTTTGACGCGAACAGATCGACGTCGGGGACACCCCACCTTTTGAATATCGCCTCCGTGGCTTGGGGCAGAAGATGCCACTCTGGTACTTTGCGACCTCTCGACAGACGGTCCGCAATTAGGTTTAGTCTCCCCGGGAGATAGGTGGCTAAGAGAGTTATGTTTAACTGTGCTGTCAGTTCTAGAAGCCTTGTTGTCAGTTTTAGTAGTGCTATGGAGCGAGTCCCCCCCTCGTTCCTGAGATATGCAACGAGAGTTCTGTTGTCGGACTGTATCAAAATGTGTGCATTTACTAGAGTCATCCGCTGACTGTTGATTGCAGCAAATACAGCATACATCTCTTTTATGTTTGAGTGCCAAGGTCTC